GCTACGGGGTGGCACCGGCCCCGCTGCGCCAGTTCAGCCCGGTGCGGATGCTGGGCTGGAACCCCATTGCCCAGTTCACCCATTGGCACACACCGACGCGGCACTGATCTGGGACCGTCATCCAGTTCAGCCCAGACACACACAGCACTGGGCTGGGACTCCATCACCCAGTTCATCCATTGGCACACACCAACACGGCACTGGTCTGGGACCACATCACCCAATTCAGGCCAGACACATGGCACTGGTCTGGGACCACATCGCCCAGTTCAGCCCAGACACACACGGCACTGGTCTGGGACCCCATCACCCAGTTCAGCCCATTGGCACACACCAACATGGCACTGGTCTGGGACCCCATCACCCAGTTCAACCCAGACCCACACAGCAGTGGTCTGGCACATCACCCAGTGGTGATGTTCAGCCCGTCCACACACACCGACACTAGTACTGGCCTGGTCTGGACTCAGCTGTCCCAGTTCAGGCCAGCCTGCAGCCCCAGTGGCACCCCGAGTCTGGGGCCATGGCAGACCGACACCAGGATGGTGGGCTCACCGGGACAGGCTGCCCCTGCCAGCGGCTGCCGAGGCATTCGGGGGGGCAGGTACTGTCCTCGTCACCCCTGGCCCCATAGAGGAGCTGCAGCCACGTGGAGAGCTGGACACCCCAAAATACATCCCCTACGGACTGCCTGCCCCACGGCACATTCCGCAACAGCGGGATGTGCCACGCATGTCCCTGAAGAGCCAGATGTCCCAACACACGAGAGCCGACGCACCCCAAAGCAGGTTCCCCCCACTCCGGACCCCCCAAGGCACAGCCCTGAGCACTCAGACACCCCCCCAGCAGCCAGATGCCCCATGAGATGTCTTCAGTGGTGGGCAGGACAAAGGCCGGGCAGGCGGCACGGCCAGCTGCAGCCGCAGGGGCTTTGCTGGTGTCATGAGGACGAGGCGGCAGCACCAGCTGCCCTGGCAGCAGCCTGTCACCCGTGGGCTCCACCATGTCCCCTCTCCTTCCCCATAGCTGGCGGCAGGCAGGGTCAGGGCCCCGTGGGACCCCCGGGTGGGAGGCTGGGCACCGAGCTGCTCGGGGGCTCAGGCAGGGTGCTGCGGGGTGCTGGCTCGAGCCCTTCTGCAGCACCCAGGCTGCAGGGCGCAGGACCGAGCTGCAGGGTGCCAGTGTTGCCCTCCTGGCATGGTGGAGTGTTTTAGGGAGGGAGTTTTTCACCGATGCCAAGCAGAGCAAGGAGCCCAGGTGGGAGCTGCAGTTGCAGCCCCGGGCTGCAGTGGGACATGCTTGGGGTGTCCGGCACCCCAGGACAGACCGTGCCAGCACCCCGGCAGGCACCGCTGCCCTCCCTGCCAGCCCTGGGGCAGGGGGCGGTCCCCGGGCAGGCAGTGTCCTGCGGAGTGGTGGCTCCTGAGCTCCAGGACCCTTTTGTGTTGCAGAGTAGAGAGACAAAGGGGTGGATGGCTGTCACCCCCAGGCATGGGGCTGCCCCCCAGGTGGGAGGGCTGTGGGGCTGGGAGGGGGGATGGAGGCAGACCCCTCCTGCCCTGCGAACACCCCATCCTGCCCAAGGGGTGCCGGGGCCGACGGGATGGTACCTCGGCCAAACCGCCTCGCCCAAGGGAGGCCCCTTGGGATCCCAAACACCAGGAGGTGAGCAGCACCGGCCCCTCGGCATCACAGTGGGGTGTCGCAGCCCACGGGCACCCTGTCCCCTCCACCACCTCTTGGCCGTGCCAGAGCAACAAAGCTGCTTTGGGGACCTGGAATAAAATGATCTGGACACCAATCACCCCTGGCCAGAGGAGATTCCCGCTGGGGGGGGTGCTTCTGCTTTGTCCTCGGGGAGAGGCAAGAGTCCAGCGAGAGGCAGGAAATCTCCCATCCACCGGTCGTTAAAACAGAGATAAGCTGGATCTCCATCCAGACAATCAACCCAACCGCCAGCTCTCCTGCCCTTGGGCCACAGGCAGCTCTGCCCAGCCCCTGCCCCGTTCCTCTTCCTGCCATACCTCCACCCCCATCCCCTGCCCCATCCCCATCCTCATTCCCACCTCACCTCCATCCCCTGCTCCATCCTCATCCCCACCCCCATCTCCATCCCTACTCCCTGTCCTTGCCCCTGCTCCACCCTTGTCCCCACCCCCATCCTCATCTCCATCCCCATTCCCTGTCCTTGCCCCATCCCCATCTTCATCTTCATCCCATTCCCATCTCCATCCATTGTCCCTGCCCCATCCCATCCCGGTCCTCATCTCCATTTCCATCTCCTGTCCCTGCCTCATCCCCATCCCATTCCCATATCTATCTTCATCCCATCTCCATCCTCCGCCCCTGCCCCATCCCCAGCCCTGCCCCACGGCTGGCACAGGGTTAGGTGTGCACAGCCGACACCAGGGCCCAGCTGAGGGTGTCCTAGCAGGGATGGGCAAGGGCCAGCACCTAGACCTGTACGTTACTCCTCCGGCTGCAGCCCTGGGGCTGGTGAGCGGCAGTGATGGCCCTCCGAGGCTATGCGGGGGGAGGAAGAGGAGGGAAGGCTGGAGGGGGCCAGGCTGCCCCTGTCCCCGCTGCAGCAGGGCTGGTGACCCCAGCCAAGCTGCTGGGACCTTGCCAGGCAGCCTCTGCCCCCCCCCCAAAACAGCACTGGCGTGCTGGTGCACGGGCAGTGGGTGTCCCTGCCGTGGCGGGCACGGGTCTGTGCTTGCCACATGGTGGGGGAAGCCCCAGCACCGTCCCGGGATGAGGAGCGGCCATGCCTGGCCGATGGGATGCCACCAGCCTGCTACACTCGCTAAAAATACACCCCAGAGGTGACTGATTACAGGTTTGGGGACCTCCGCAAAGGAAATAGCCGGTGCTGAAGGGCTCCAGTTTGGCGAGACAAGGCAGGGCTGGTGCTGGCGCCAGGCAGGTTTGCCAGGCATGGGGGGCTGTGCCGTGGGGGCCCCTTCCTGGGAAGGGGTTCTGTCCCCCAGCCCTCTGGGTCCTCAGCACCCCCAAAGGAGCAAACCCCTTCGGGGCACGGCCAGTGCTGTATGGGAGCACGGCCAGCACCGCGTCCAGCACGGGAAGCTCACCGGAGCAGGGGGCAAGGTCAAGGATCCCCCCTGTGATGGAGCCACATGGGCTGTGGGTGGCATGTCCCGTCCCCCATCCCCGGGGACCTCATCGCTGACACCACCAGCAAGTGACAATTGGTGCTGGGTGTGCAGCTCGCAGGCGGTTGTCAGCTGAGATCGGGGGCAAAAGGCCGATCCAGCCTGAAAACATTTCAGGCTTTCTCCCCGTAATGAAAAGAAAACACTTATTCTTATTAGAAAAATAAAAGAATTAAACGCGGCTAAATTCAGCATTGTTTGAGAATGAGAGACTCCTCAAAAGAAGTATTTTGATTTTTTTTAGCATTTTTTCCCAATTATTTTTGGCTGACGAGCGATTCTGGCTGACCTGAATCTGCATTTGTTTTGGCGAGTGAACCATGTGTTGGAAAATTGTTACTCGGCGGCTGCAACTACCAACCTCCCCGGCTGTGCCGAGCTGCGGTTTGCCCCGCATGCTTGGCACGACACAGCATGGCCGGCAGCTGCCTGCACTGGCCGGCACGCAACGCAGGCAGGAGTGGGGGGGTGCGAGGCTGGGCACCCCCGGGGGAGCCCCCGCCGGCCCACGGCCAGAGCCCATGGTGCAGGGGTCTGTCCGTGGCACTGCTGGCAGCAGCTGCAGTGCTGCTGGTGGCCAGAGTGCGGCTGCACCGGGGCTGCGCAGCTCTGTGGCTGCAGGCAAACGCCTGCATCGCTGGTGCCCCCCATGCCGGGCAGGGGAAGCAAACCATGACCATGACCACGCGCTTGGCAAACCCCAACTCCAGGCATGCAGCCCACCTGTGCCCGGGGGTGCCCACCCCGGCCAGGACACCCCCCAGGACACCCGCCGGCTCCACCAGCCCACCCTGTGCCTGGCTAAACCTCTGCCCGTGGGCAGCAGCCGCACGCAGACCCTGGGTGCAGCTGTGACTCCCCCCCATCCCTGGCTGCCAGCCCCTCCCAGGGTGGCGGGACCCCCTGTGCCCATGCCGACCACCCCGGGAGGAGCCGATCCACGAAATCCACTGGCACAGCCACCCCGGCCGTGACAGCCATGCCCTGTGCCCTATGGGGATGGCCTGGCTGTGCCAGCCAATGCCCTGTGGGATGCTCCGGCCGTGCCAGCCTCCCCCTGCCCCTGCATGGTGCCAGCATGACGGCGCTCGGCAGCGCGGGGCTATAAATAGTGCTGGGGGGGTGGCGGTGGCGCGAGGGGACCTGTTGCCAGGGAGACTCGCTGGCATCGGGGGACGACGCGGAGAACAGGGCGAGGCGGGAGCGGTGGGGATGTCGGTGGGGACGGGACCACCGGGGCGCCCGCAGAGCCCCTGCCCCACAGGACCCCCCTGAGTGGCTGTTGGCACCATGGCCTGCCCGCAGCCCTGTGCCTGCGCCACAGCCGGGGCTCCCGCCGCCCCTCAGCCTCCCGCCGCTGCCCTCGGCTTGGCTGATTTCGGCTGCGTCACGGCGCGCGCTGGTTCCCTGGGAAACCGACAGGAACGGCACATCCCTCGGCACATGCCACGGAAGGGCCCCATGCCGCCTGCACCGGCAGGCTCCCTGCACTGGTGGCTGCGCACACTGGGCCCCTGGTCCCTGGCTTATGGTGGCCCCCGGCAGGGGGCACAGGCATGAGAAGTGAAGCTGCCTGCCACGGTGCAAATACTGGGTGCAGGCAGGGCAGCGGCACTGCCGCAGCGGTCCCACGGGGAGTGCCCGCTCCGCTGCCAGCCCCACGGCATGGCACGGCACAAGCCAGGGTGCCCCGCGGGGGGGGGCTGCCCGCCTACGCCCCCACCCTGTGCTGACCACCCCTCATGCAGCCGGTCACCCTGGCACTGCCGGCGACCGGCGGAGTGCTCTGCGCGTGCCATTTTGCTGGAGCTCTGCCTGCTGTCGTTAGCGATGCTGCAATTCGCTGTGGGAGCCTTTGAGACAGCTAGACACTGTGGGGCTTGGGGTGCTCGAACCAAGCAGCACCACGCAGCCCGCCCTGTCCTGGCATCACCGCCACGCTGTGGTGTCCCCCCTCCCTGCTCACTCCAGTGGCATCCAGCTCCTTACCTCCCTCTTCCAACGGGCCAGCCACTCGTCCCGCTTCCTCTTGCTGATGTAGTAGGGGTCTCCGGCCTGGAAGGTGTGCCGCTGCATGGGCCGCTGCCGCAGGCTCGACTCCCAGCCCAGCCCGCCACGCAGCCGCCCGCGGGAGCCCTGCCGCCGGAGGAAGAGAGGGGAGGCTGAAGGCCACAGCTCCAGCGCTGCCGCGGGCACCAGGAACGGCATCATGGCGGGAGCCGTGGCCTGGGACAGGCAGGGCTCTTGGGGGCAGAGGGGAGGACGGGGGACAGAGCGGAGCTGCTCGGGGGGGCTGGAGGTGGGCACCCCGCTTGCACATGCTGGGACTGGCCAGGGGAGACGGGCACGGGGGACACTGCCTGCATGGGTGCACACACGTGTGCAAATGCATACATGCTCTGGCCCACATCTGCACCAGGACTGGGCATCATGCCGTGGCTGGCTGCACCTTGGCGGGTGCTGTCGGCACCGTCCCGGGCATGGATCTGCCCCAGGCTGACATGCTCTGCCTGGGCACCTGGGGGAGGCGTGGAGTCAGCCTGGGCTGTCCCATGGGCTGGATGGAGGGGGGTTCACCAGCCTGGCCACAGCTCGGTGTCGTCTGGTCCCCAGCACAGAAGCAAGTGCTGCCCGGAACCCGGCTGTGTCGGGGTGCAGGGTCTTTTTTTTTCAACCCCCATCCCGCTGGGACCCTCCCCCTTGCAGCTCCCCCATGGCTGCTGGCACCAAGGGACCGGAGGGTGCCGGTTCCCGCAGGCATGGGGAGCACCGTGCTGACCGGTGGGCTGCAGGGCCATACCCGTCTCCTGCAGGTGCCTCGGTGCAGCCCCCAGTGGGAACCTGGCCCCGGGACATACTTGCCTCCATTTTCAGGGTGTCGAAGTTGTTTTCTTCCTTCTCTTCCTTGCCTGCACACAGAACAGAGAGGAGCCATCAGCTGGGGGGGATCAGCTCGGTGCTATGGGGCAGGGCACCTGGGCCCCCGCAGGGGAGAAGGGAGCCCACCTGGGACCCCCCAGCCCGGCTGGGGGCCGGCTTTGGGCCGGGGAAGGGCACCCATCGCCGCTGTGCGAGGCCTGGGCCGTGCTCCCCGGGGGACGCCGGCTGCCGGGATGTGAGCTGGCTGCTTCCGCGCCCCCTCCCCGCACCCCAGCTGGGGGGTCTGGGGGAGCAGCCCCCGCTGGGGCTGGAGCAGGCAGGGGAAGCGCGCGGAGCCCCGCTGGCTTCCTGTGCTATCGGCACATCTCGCACGCTGCAGGTACGCGCCGAGCCGCTGCCAGGAAAGTGGATAAAAATAACACCGACCGTTTCTGGGGTTGCAAACCTCCGCGCACCCTGAGCTGCTGGGGGCTGGGGCCAAGCGGGGGCAGCCGGGCCAGAGCATGGGGTGTGCCGGCGGGCACGTGTGGGGGCACCCACCCACCCATGCCTCGTCATGGGCACCGCTGGGGCCGGTGGGTCCCTGTGCCGGGAAGGGGACCTCCATCCTGGGCGCTGGCATCCCTCCGCGCTTTGCCCTGGCTACTGGGTGCTGGCCGGCCCGGCACAGACCTGGGCTGCAGGGGAGGGGCTCAGCTGGGACCCCCGGTGCCCCCTTGCCGGCTGAACATGCGCCCTGTTTTGCTGCAATGTCCCCCAGGTCCTGGGGCTGTGCCGCAGCCACGGCCCCCCCGGACGCCCACCCAGCCCCACGTGACACCCAGACAGTCCCTCGCAGCCAGCACATGGGGACCAGACCCCTCCATGGCAGCCAGCCCCCACCCCAGAAGCAGTGAGGCCCGAGCAGGAGAGCAGCCAAGAGCCCTGCTCCGAGTGCTGGCAGACAGCAAGGGACACTGGGGACACGAGCTTTCTGGCTCCATACTGAGGGTAGGAGTGTGTGCATGCCCTGGGGGTGCCTGGGCAACCTGTCCTCCCAGTCCTGCCCACAGGCACCGGGATCTCACTTGGGGAAACTGAGGCACAGGAGAGGGGACCTGGCCTGTTCTGAGATGCTCGTCCCCTCTGTCACTGGGTCCAGCAACCCAGGCACTGGGACTGGCCAAACTGGAGGCACCGAACAAACTGGGGACATGCAGCCTGTGTCCCCCCACCCCTCTGCCGCCCTGCTTGCTGCATGGCTGGGCGGTGCAGAGCCCAGCACCGGGCCACAACTGGTGCCAGGGCTGCCGCAGCGCCTTCCTGCGACAGGCTGCAGTGGCCCCGCTATCCCACACATGCCTGGCACGGATGCGGCTCGGCAAAGACCCCGGCCTCAGCTCCTGCCCATCCCAGCACCCCACAGCAGTGCTGTACCGCATGCTCTCTGCCGGCCCGCTGCACCGACGGGCCAGGATGCAGTTACCGACTGACGACAGGATCCTGCCCGAGACCTTCCTCCACTGGGGATTTTGGCAGGGATGGGACTTGGGGGGACAGCGAAGGGGTGCAGAGCTGATGGAGTGGCTGGTAAGTTGTGCTTGGGCAGCGCTGGAAGAGCAGGTCGTGGGCCCCACGCCGGGTCAGAGGGGCAGTGTGAGGTGAAAAGCCAGCGTGGGAGGAGAAGGAAGCAGTGAGGGAGGCAGGAGCGCTGGATGAGGGGGTGAAGGATGCCCGGGAGAGCCCTCTGGCCAGCTGGGCACGAGGCAGGAGGAGCTGAAGGACCAAGGAGCGGAGGAGGATCTGGCAGGAGCCAAGCCTGTCGCTGGAAGGTGACAATGCCGCTGCTAACCTTAGCGCAGACATGGCTGAAGTGCTGGAAATGGCGTCTAGGGAAGGGAGCGAGCTCCCGGTGGCTCTCATGGCTCCCCCAGACAGTCTCTGGGTACCACCAGGTACCACTTCGACACTGTCACCCGGGGACTCGCCCTGAGGCTGGTGGAGGAGCCTTGGAGCAGCGCTGGACACTGGCTGTGTTTGCAGGAAAGCGCCAGAGAAGGGAGGGCAGGGAAGAGCCTCTGGATGATCAGAAAGCGCCTGCCTGGCAGGAATACAGGCAGCTGCTGCTCTCCCCGCGCGGTGAGAAGAGCAGGAGGATGAGCACCATGCACAGGGGCCCCGTGGGCAGGTCACGCTGCGAGAGGATGGGCTCTGTAATGCCATGGGGAAAGGGCTGAACACCAACCTGAGGCTGGAAGGTGAAGCCTGACCTGCTCACGGCACCCACATTAATGGTACCCACGTTCACGCACCGTGCTCAAGGCACCGTGCTCGTGCCTGTGCCTGCTGCTGCCGGCCTCTGAATGCGGAGCTCTGCTGTGCATGGGAGCCGGTAGCAGGGCACCCCCAGGGCTGTCTTCTCCCCACTCCACACCGGTCCCGCCGTCAGGGCGTGCTGCGCTGACCCACCCTGGCTCAGCCCATCTGGTCCAGCTCCCCTCGGCCGCCACGGCCAGCCTGGCGCTGGGGCTGCACCATGACCCACGTCTGACCACGGCATGCCCAGCCCAGCAAGCTCTCCCGACCATCTGTACCGCGCTGCCAGCTACGGCTTCTCCGCTCCCTCAGCTGCCTGCTCTGTGCCTCGTGACTGCAGTAGCATCTGCATTGCTTGTCTCCATCCCCAGCCCTGCCTCATCCATCTCCATCCAAGCCCTGCCTCATCCGTCTCCATCCCAGCCCTGCCTCTCCCAGCTTCAACCCAGCTTTGCCTCTCCCTGCTCCATCCCACCCTTTCCTTGCTTGTCTCCATCCCTGGGCCAGCATGGCTGGCAGTAAGTCTCTGTGCTCATCTGGGTCGAGAAGCCCCCAAGAGCCAGAGCCTGACCCCCAACTCATTCTCACCCCGTTTCTGCTCTGCAATGCCCCACGGTGCCAGTGCTGTGACACCCCAGCTCCGTGCCCCCTCTGCTGCCAGCTGTCTGTGCCCTGCTGTGGGGAGAGCACAGCCCCCCATCATGGCTGGTCCAAGCTGCCCCATCCCACCGCCTGGCACCTCCTGGCCAAGAGGGACGGTGGCAGCGGGGCCACAGGCCGGTGTGTGCCCGGGGGGGGCAGCTGGGGCCAGTGCTGGGCTCCCCCACGGCCTGTGCCGGAGCCAGGCATCCCTCTCCGGCTGCAGAGAGCAGAGCTGCTCCTGCCTGTGAGCAGCCGCAGGCAGGGAAGGTGCTGAGGAGGTGGGGGAAAGCCTGTCCCCGGTGAGTGGCAGCTCTGCTGGGGCCAGGAGCCAGCAACAGACACCGCGCAGCCCCGAGAAGCCTGGTCCCTGCGGGGGCCCTGGCAGGCAGCACACCAGTGTGCTGTGCCCACTGCACCGTGGCACCTCGACCCTGCCCAGGAGCATGGGCACAGCTGGGCAGCACATGGGGCTGGCATAAGCCGGGGAGTGGGTGCTCTTATGTCCACAATCCTGAGGTCTGCAGGGGAGCCGTGGGTCTTGCAGCAGGCGGGGGAGGGCAGGGCTGGGAGCCCTCCCCAAGCTGCACACACAGACCTGCACTCACGATCACGGACACAACGCACCCACGGACCGGTGGGGGCCGGGCCCCACTGGGGTCCCCCCATCCAGCCCCCTGCCCCGGCTGGGCAACCCGGAGCCGCTGCCCAGGACCATGACCAGAGTCTCCAGGGACAGAGACCTCCCCCCACCGCCCTGGGCAGCCTGTGCCAGTGTCACCCTCACACTGAGGAGTGTGCCCCGGGGGGCCAGAGGGACCCTCCCAGGGTCTGGTTTGTGCCTGTTGCCTCTGGTCATGATACTGGGCACCACTGGAAGAGCCTGGCTCCGTCCTCTCGGCACCCTCCCTGCAGGTATTTGTAGGCATGGATTCAATCCTCCTGAGCCTGCTCTGCTCCAGGCTGAGCAGTCCCAGTCCCCTCAGCCTTTCCCCACAGCAGAGTTGCTCCAGTCCTTCAGTGTCGTGGTGGCCCCTCACTGGACCCTCTCCAGTCTGTCCACGTCCCTCTTGTACTGGGGAGCCCAGCACTGGACCCAGGACTCCCAGGGTGGCCTCCTCAACCAGTAGGCAACACTCCTAACGCAGCCCAGGATGCCATTTGCCTTCATTGCACAAGGACCCGCTGCGGCCTCGCGCTTGGCTTGGTGTCCACTGGGACCCCCAGGGCCTTCTCTGCTGAGCTGCTCTCCAGCCTGGTCCATCCCCAGCACATGCTGCTGCCTGGTGCTGATCCTCAGCGCAGCGCTGAGCCCGCTGCCTTGCACGCTCTGCGCAATGCCCAGAGCAGCACCGGCACCACAGCCGGCACCTCCTCAGCACCACGTCAGCGTGGCCCCAGGACCGCACCATGCATGCATCTACTGCTCTGCCCCTGGCACATGCAGGGCTGCCATGCGAAGCGGCACAAGCACTGGCGGCGGCAGGCATGCTCTGGGGCAGGCTCGCATGCAGGCAGGGGCATGCCTGCTCCATGGGGCACCTGCACTGGCCGCGCTGGCAGGACGAGGACCGACCTCCCCTCCTGCCTGCCCTGGTCCTGCTGGGAGGAGTGGAGCCCAGCAGAAAGGGCAGCGCGATGGGACGAGCGTGCGAGGGCAGCCCCCCGCTTCGATCTGCTGCCCCCACCCCAAATCCCGCCTGGTACGGAGGGGCTCAGCCCTTCCTCCTCCTCCTCCAGCAGCGTTCTCCAGCCTGGGAGCCACCGCAGCCCAGACCCCTCGTGGGGATGGCATGCTGGGCAGGGTGGTGGGGGCCGGGGGTCCCCAGAGAGGCGCAGCGGGCGCCGGTAGGACTGTGGGCAGAGCCACAGCCCCGTAGCGGGGAGCCCTCAACGCTAAGGTCTTACTTTTCTCTGCGGCCTCCAGGAGTTTCCTCCTCCCGCGTTTCTTCTGGGGGTCGGAAGGGGCCAGCTCACCCTCATCGGCCGGGGCGTCCAGGCCCTCCTTGGGGGTGCAGCGGCCGTTCTCCAGCGCCCGGCCCGTCTCGCCGTCCGGCAGGCTCTCCGTCTCGTCCTCCTCGGGGCGCCCGCCCTTAGGGCTCGTGCCGCCCTCCTCTGCGCCCTTCCACTGGGCACCGTCCCCCTCCACGTCCCCGTTGGGCAGCGGCTCGGCGGGGCTGGCCTCTGGGCAGGGTGGGGGGCACTTGGGGACAGCCGCGATGTCTTTGGGGGTGTCACTGCTTTCCACCTGCCGAGGAGAGGGAAAGGAGCTGCAATGGGCGCTGGCAGGGGGGCATGGCCCCGCTCGCGCCACCAGCCCGCACCCCACCACGGCACCACTGGCCACCACCACCAGACCCCAAGGCAGGAGCCCCTGCACCACCTCAGGGTGGCCAGCTCCATCCAGTGCCCATCCCCGTCCCCCTGCCCTGACCCTACTTCCCCACTGCAGACCATCGCAGCGCAAAGGGTATCTCCAGGACCACAGCCCATACCCCCAAAGTCACGGCTCCACGACCCAGTGATAACCTGGGGACAAATGCGCATTACACCAAAAAAGGCCAAGTTTCACCTCCTGCACCTCAGGCATGCCGCCCTGCCACTGCCTGCAGGGTGCCCCAGGGTGAGACAGGGCTACAGTGGCACCCTCAGGCCCAGGACATGTGGCCATGGAACCCTCAGGACATGGACATGCTGCCATGACACCATGAGGACCACTACACAATGCCATAGCACCCACAGAACCAGGATATATAGAAGTGACATCATCTGGAATAGGACACACTGCTGTGTCACCCTCAGGACCAGGACATGCTGCCACAACACCATCAGGACAAGGACACATGGCCATGACATATTCAGGACCAGAACGCAATGCCACAGCATGCTTAGGACAAAGACATGGCGGTGACATCGTCAGTACCAGGACACACTGCCATGACACCACCAGGACAACGACATATTGCCATGACACACTCAGGACCAGGACACACTGCCATGGCACCTTCAGGTCCAGGATACAAAGTCATGACACTCTCAGGACTAGCACAAGTGGTCACGACACCTTCAGGACCACGACATGGTGCTGTAACACCTTCAGGACCAAGACACACAGACATGATACCCCCAGTACCAGGACATGCTGTCATGAAACCCTCAGGACCAGGACATGGTGCCATGGTACCCCCAGGACTGCTGCCATGGCACCCTCAGGAGCAGCTCACGTTGCAATGACACCCTCAGGTCCAGGACATGCTGCATGGACACCCTCAGGACTAGGACATGGTGCCACGGAACCCTTAGGATCAGGAAAAACTGCCATAGCACCCTCAGGACCTGGACACCATGCCATGGCATCCGCAGGACCAGGACACATGGCCATGACACGCTCAGGACCAGGACATAATGGCATGGCATCCTCATGACGAGGACACACAGCCATGGCACCTTCAGGACAAAGACACACTGCCATGACACCCCCAAAACCAGGACATAGGGCCATGGCCTCCTCAGGACCAGGACACACAACTATGTCACCCTGAGGACCAGGATACACAACTATGTCACCCTGAGGACCAGGATATTCCACCATGACACCCGCAGGACCAGGACAAAACGCCATGGCAACTTCAGGACCACAACACTCTACCATGGCAATCTTAGGACAAGGACACACTTCCATGGCACCCTCAGGAGCAGGTAATGTTACTGTAACACCATCAAGACCATGACACAATGACATGGCATCCTAAGGACCTGGACAGAGGGACATGACACCCACAGAAGCAGGACAGAAGTAGGCAACACCATGAGGACCTGGATACACTGCCATGGCAACTTCAGGACCAGAACACACTGCCATGACACCCTAAGGAACAGGACACACTACCATGACATCCTCTGGACCAGGACACAAAGCCATGACACCCTTAGGAAACAGAAGACACATCCACGGCATCCTCAGGACCAAGACACAAGGATGTGATACCAAGAGGACCTGGACACAATGCTGGGGCACCTTCAGGACCAGGACAAACTGCCAGGACACCCTGAGGACCAAGACAAAATGGAGGTGACACCATGAGAACCAGGATATAGAGCCATGACACTCACAGGGCCAGAATACAAGGCCATGGCGCCCTCAGGACCAGAATACAAGGCCATGGCGCCCTCAGGACCAGAACACAATGCATGGCAGCTTCAGGTCCAGGAGAAGTGGTCAAGACACCCTCAGGACCAAGACGCACCTCCATGGCACACTCAGGACCAGGACTCGCTGCCATGACACCCTGAGGAGCAGGTCATACTGCAATGAATGCCCTCAGGGCCAGGACACAACAGCACGGCACCCTCAGGACCAAGACACAAGGACATAACACGATGAGGACCTGTATATGCTACCATGACACCTTCAGAACCTGGACAAACGGCCATGAAACCTTCAGGACCAGGACATACCGCCACAACGCTCTAAGGACCAGGACACAATGCCATGTCACCCTCAGGACCAAGAAAAATGGAGGTGACACCATGAGGACCTGGATACACTGCCATGACACCTTCAGGACCCGGATGAATGACCATGAAACCCTGAGGACCAGGACACATCACCATGAAGCCCTCAGGACCAGGACACAACGCCACAACACCTACAGCAGCACGACACATGGCCATACACCCTCAGGACTGGAACATGGTGCCACGATACCCTCAGGACAAGGACACGCTGGGATGTCACCCAGCTGCCCCAGTCCCCATGTTGGTGAGGACACTCCCAGCGCAGAGCGGACACTGGAGCTGCCTGTCTTGCCTGGCTCGCTTGTGCTGCAACGCTGCGGTGCGGGACCAGCGTTGGGACCCCCTCCCTCCTGCCCATCCCCATCGGCAGCGGGAACATTGACCAGCTGGTGTGCACGCGTGCGCGCTTGTGCAAGACAGGTGGACTCAGGGCCCACGACGGCCATGCACGTGTGCGTGTGACAGGCAGAGCCAGCCACTGCGGCATGCACTTTTGACAGGAAGGGACACGGCGCGTGACAACCGTGTGTGTGTGTACATGGCGGCAGGGACAGCCTGTGACGGGTGCTCGTGGGTGGTCGTACGTGTGCGTATGTGCACAACAGGCAGAGCCAGGGACCACGACCTGCGCGCATGTGCATACAGGTGACAGGTGGAGCCAGGCCCTGTGACAACCCTGTACGCAGATGCGTGTGCAAACGTGACACACGCAAACGCGGCCCATGGTGAGTGTGAGAGTGGGAAAGTGTGTGACAGGCACAGCCGGAGCCCGTGACACACACGTGCGTGTGTCAGATGGGCAACGCCAACACTCGCAGGCGGGTGTGCGTATGCGACAGGCAGTGCCGACGTGTGCGACAGGCGGGTGCGCGTGTGTGACAGGCGGTGCTGGTGCCCGCAGGAAACGTGCAGCCGGCCCCGGCTCGCGAGTGCAGCGACAGAGCGGCGAGCGTACGTGAGCGTGAGACACGGGGGAGGACCGTCTGCGCCGGCACTCACCGGCACGCCGGGCCCGAGCGCGTGCCCGCGTGACAGACGGCGCCGACGTGAACGCAGGAGATGGTGGTGCCGAGCGCGCAAGCAAGGCCGCTTGGCTGGGGATGGCATCGCTGGTCCCTCGCCATGGCGCCAGCCCTGGGGCAGCCGCACGGCACGGCATGGCGTGGCACGGCACGGGCTGGCGGCCGCAGGAGCAGGAGCGGGAGCAGTCAGAGCGAGAGGAGCAGCCCGGCCTGGCGGTTTCCGTGGCGAAGGAGAGTGAAAGTGCTGCTGCGTCACTGCAACAGCCGGGTGCGCAGCGCAGCCGCGGCAGGGTGGGCTCTGCCTCTGCCGCTTGCCCGGGCCCCGGTCAGCCCCGCTGCTGCCGTGCTGGGGAGTGCTCGGTTCCCCTCCCGGCTGTGCTCCCGGGGGGCACATGCTCACCCCATGCTGGTGCATTGGGGGCCCCATCCCTGGGGCTAGGCCCTCGCCAGCATGGCCCAGCGGAGCTGTACCAGCACTGGCACCGTTCCTCCCTGGAGACCCCGTACGCTGCCCATGGGCGTGGGGTGCCTCACCCCTGCTCCCCCAGCACTGGTGGCCGAACACCCTAAGGACAGACACCCGCTGCTGCTGCCTCCCAGTGTCGCCGGGGGCCGGGAGCTGAGGCGGCGGCACCCGGCCCCGCTTCCTGTGCCCCGTGCTCGCCTCCGCAAGCTTGTACATCCCTGAGCCCCGTGCTCGCCTCCGTGAGCTTGTGCATCCTATGTCCCATGCTCGCTTCCACAAGCTTGTGTACCCCTGAGCCCTGTGCTTGCCTCCCTGTCCCCGTTCCCGCGCCGACCCACAGCAAGGGCTCTGCAAGAAGCCAGGAGCGCTGGGGGCTTTGCAGGATCCCAAGGATCTGCATCCTAGGGATCGGGGACAGGCCCCGGGTTTGGTCCCAGCCCAGCCGTGCCCAACCCTGCCTGCCATCCTGCCGGGGCTGGAGCAGGGCCCCCCCGTCTCTGCGGCAGCAATGCCAGGAAACGCGGCCACGCTGCGGAGGCAGGCAGCCCACCAGCACCTTTCCTGCACCGCCGCTCACCCCCACCTCTGCCTCGGCCCTCCCAGCTCCCCATGGCACAGGAGGGCCGGGGTGCTGGGGGCTGGTGCGGTGCCAGGGTGGCACGGAGGGGAGCCGGCTGCAGGGACGCTTCTGTCTGTCCCCAGCAAACTACATGTCCCAGGATGCACCGTACGGTGGCAGGGTGCCAGGGAGCAAACGCCGAGCTGCCAGCCAGGCTTGACGTGAGCTGGGGTGCTCGCGGTGCTGCTGGGGTGCCCGCCGTGCTGCCCACCCTTCCCTGCCCCAGCGACCGCTGCGAAGGGGACCGGGGAGGGGACACCGAGGTGTGAGGCAGGAGCTCGGGGGCGGGGGCGACAGGTGGTGGAGGCAGCTTTGCTTTCCAGGGCTCCCCGGATTCACGCTGCCGCTGCCGCTGGCCGCTCCCCCATGGGGTGCAGGAGCCCCCTCCCCAGGCGTGCCCAGCAGTGGGGGGGGGGTGCGTGTGACGCTTACCATGGTGCATCCCCTCCGGCTGGCGCGCAGACCCCCGTCCGGCTGCCACTCGCCCTTGCGCAGGCGCCTCCTCCCCGCGCTGGCGGCCGCGTCCCCGTGGCGGCGGGCGCTTCCTGCTCGGCCTGGCCGCCCCGGCTCGCTGGCAGAGTCACTTCCTCCACTCGCTCGCTCGCTCGCCGGCTCAAGCCCCG